GGGGGGGGGGGGGATTCCCTGGTTGAGGTGCTATTTCATGGAATGAGGCTTTCCACCAAATGGCCGAAGGAAAACGGGGCATTACAACATCCGACTGTAGGGAAACGGGAAAATACTCAAGAAGCAAAGGGCGAGATCTGGAACTCTCTATGGGGCACTGCCAGGCTTGGGGACCCAGCCAGGAGCAGCCACAATGCTTGAGAACACGCTGTAGCCGTAGACAGAATTTATTAGAGTTTGCAGAAGCATGAGATAATGTACCACAAAATAGTTCGATTTTACAACATATAGTAGTAGGAGGTTGTCAACATACAGTGTTGTCAGCAAAAATGGGATACAGAGCAGTTTCACATTTTTTTAAAGGTGATGGATGACCTATACGCTTGTCCTTAAAATAAAACCAGGAGGGGACAGCAGAGACAGGCTGCTTTGCAGTTGGGTGTCAGAATCTTAACCTAGTATCACAATTGTAAGAAACTATAAGAAAAACTATTAGAAAAATAGAACATCAAACAAGCAAAAAACATTATACAATTTACAGAATAAGAAACACAATTCTTTTAACAATGGCTGCACGTTCAGGAGAAGAAAAAGTTTACTGGAGAAACCACAGCTCTTCAGGTTTGAAAATAAACCAGCCCTCACCAGGATCATCAACCCTCTGTGCTTCTTAGATCCATCGACACTGAAAGGCACAACTTAAGCGGGAAACTTATTTTAAATACATATATTACAACTTCTCAAATGGGAAAATAAATCCCAAACTTTAAAAAAGAAAAAAGTCTGTCATCAAGAAACACAAAGTCATATACCTTGTTAATAATTTAACAAAGTCTTAGCGCGTCTTCCTGACCCTGTGGGACATGCTCATACCCTGAGAAATTCAATCTGGACTTCACAGCCAAGGTCTTTATTTCATGTGGGTTTTTCAGCCGGCAGTTCAACACACTTACAGGGTGATCCAGGAGGGGTCCTTGATAACTGTGCCCAGAGACCCTTGGCTGGTCCCCGTCCCTCTTGAAAGAGAGCACTGCCGCTCAATGAAGCGACAGGCACATAAACACTCTGGATTCTAGTGATGAATATAGTATCAAAGTCAGTTGACTTTTTTTTTTTTTGCCTTACAAACCCATTAGGCATCATAACTCTGATGATGAAATACGGAGTGTAGCCTCTTGCACCACTGGATAAAGCACTTCATTACCAAAAAAAAAAAGTCCACAAGAGTCCAACAAAAGGTCTCTCACTCTCCCTAAGGAGCCTTACTTACAATACTCTTGTGATGATGGCAAACACCCATCTTAAATTATATGTGACAAATATACGTAGTAACACATATTCAGTTCCATCTGCTGGTAACTCTGTAACAGTTCCGCACACAAGCGTCGCACACCTGTGCCCGGCAGAGTGCCGACGTGCCTGGAAACACTTCTCCATCCGTGCCAGAACTCCTCGGGGATGGGGCCTGGCACGGAGATGGCCCTAGGGAGCCGACAGAGCAATCGTACTAGATGTGTGAAAGCAGGACACGTGAATCCAGAAGATGGGTCCTGGCACAGAGCCAGCAGGTTGGTGAGGCCCCTGAAATGCCCACGAGCCCACCTAGTCGGGTGGGGCCTTTACGAGGCATGCCCACACGCCCCCAAGGAGCCCAGATTCTGCCCCTGTGCTGTACCAGTGTTAGATTCGGGGCCATCCTGGGCAGACTGCAAACCTCAGTCAATTCAGAACGCCCGCTCAGTGGTGGGGATGGCAGGGATGGAGGGGCGGGGAGAGAGCAGAGCCCAGGTCACGGCCATGGCCACGGCCACGCAGGAAGCCCCACGAACGACCGCCAGGTGCCTTGTCTGGGTGTGCACACGGGAGCGGGCCAGGGCCTGAGGAGCTCGGGGTGGGTGAAGCCCCCACCACGGTGCGGTCACCTGTGGACACGTGGCAGGCAGGGGGGCTGTGATACCCGAACCACAGCACCAGCACCTGGGACCATGTCCTGACAGAGGTGACTCAGTGGAGCAAAACCACGAGTCAGGGGGCCGAGGGGCTCTGGCAACAGTATCAGTTCAGCAGTCCTTCTGAAACAGCCTGGGAAAGATGGCCCTATCGCTCCCCGCTATTGGCTTAGAAAAACAAACGGGGCCCAGAGTTGGGCTGAGGGGTGTGAGCCGGTGGGGCAGGCTGAGGCATGTGCAGAGGCCCAATCTCCTGCTGACGGTCCTCCTCCTGGAAGCAGGCTCGGCCTCCCCCACCCACGGAGCCCGACTGCCTCCCCGGCGACCCCTCG